CCTATGGATGCCGGAGCAGGCAGAGACCTTGTTCGTTCTGCCTGACCCACCTCGTTGGCGGCACCCCTTCGCACATCGTGGGGGTGCGGCGCGGAGCGACAGCCACCCAGAGTGGGGAATACCACGCAGGAAGCGCATCTCTCCGAAGTTTGGGTCGGCGGCGTTATGTTGCACTCTTGTAGCTGCTCGGATGGAGCAGCTAGTCCGGGCACCTCGCACAGAGATGCTTTACTCACCTCCGAGCGAGGGGCTGGCTCTACCGGCCTCCGGGGAGCTTGAGTGAGACATCCCGCGGGACCCGCATTTCACCTGCGGGAGAAAAGGGGTTTGCCATGGAGGTGTTAGCTGGGAAGCCTTTAGCAGCAGGTTATGCCAGCACCGAGTCATGTACCCAACTACAAACGTTTTGCTGAAGAGCACAGAGATTCTGGGTGTCATTATGCCCAGTCCTGCTGTGACATTCTCTCAGCTTAACCCTGGACTGACATTTCACTGAAACTGCACAGTAGGCAAAATTTTAGTGAGAAAAGCCAGCATGTTTAAGCTTAAACTTACAAGTTCCACTTGTAAATCCATATTTAGGCACTCTACACAGATAACCCATCTTTCCAGAAAGCCAGTGTCCTTCAAGAACTACTTCTGAAAAGGAGGCTATTTAGTGAGCTGCTTAGGTATGTCTAACATTTGGCAGCCAGATTTGAAAAATCTGGGCGCGATATTGTTCTGAAAGTGTGACTCCATCTACTCGGTTACAGCATCGTTTTGAAGAGTGTTCCTAATTCTGAAGTACTTTGTAGCATCCAGCCTTCTTCAGTTAAATTTCTTAGGACCCCAAGCTAACTCATAAAAGGAGACTTTTTTTTTTTTAACTGTTACAATGCAAGTGACCTACACGGAGTCTGTGTGAGATCTGTGAGCCGGGGTAAGGATTTCAAAGCAATTCCTGGGGTTGATTTTGTGGAGCAGGGATTGTCTCTCTCTGTGTTTGTACAAGTGCTAAGCACACAGATGGTATTTAATAAATAATAAAGAGCATGGGCTTCTGATTGTGTATTTTGTTTTGAGAAAGAAAGAGCAGGAGACCCTGTTCCCCAGGAGGTGGTTTTATACCGGTCTCACAGCTCAGCCATGAAATCCGGAGAGCATAGAAATGTGTTTAGCTGAGCCAGACCTGCCAGGACGCCAGAGGTGTTCTTTAAAACTCTGTGATCTGAGATGTAAAAGTTGAAACGGGAGGTTTGAAGTTAGAGGGTAAAGAGAGGAGGTGTAATTACAGGGTTGGACTCTCCGGCTCATCTGCTTGGAATTACAGAGCAGAGCTGAACCCTGGCTGGAGCAGGAAACAAACCAGGGCCAGTGATCAGATCAAAACAGCAGCTGCCAAAAGAGGATGAAGGAGGAAAATCATCTATTTCTTCCATCTGCAGTTACAATTCACCAAATCACATAAACCTAAGTTCAAGCAGAAAGAACTCAGCACCTTAGGTATAAAGACAAGCACCTCGGTAGTACGGTTTGGATCTGAGCTTCCAGCGCTGGGAAACTACTGCCCTCTTACAAACTTGAAAATTACATCAGTGGCATATAATGCACTGAAATGTAGCCTGTCTAAATGTATTTACCCTGTTAGCTTTAACTTGGCCTAGAGCTTTTCCCTTTGTGCCATAGAGTCAATGGGAACATACTTCGGTCAGTGGCTAGCCTGGATTGGTAATATGTAAGAACAACCAGCAGTCCCAGGGGATCACAGTGTTAAGCCTCTTTACAGCGCACAGTGTTTTCTTTTGCATTTCTATTGCACATGGCAATTTAAGGGTTAAAAATGAGTGAGTGTGTGTGGGTGGTTGAGGATTTTTATGGCTTAAAGCTTTATAACACAAGTTAAAATGTCCTGCAAGGCTAAAGCTTCAGCTTTCATTACATTAAGAAATGCCTACTTTAGCATCACTAAATTGAAATTTGGAAAAACTTGTCTTCATTAATCAAAATAAAACCTGTACAGTGTCAAAAAAAGAAAAAAAGGTTTGCAGCTGGAAGTTGTCCATTATCACTGTTTTCTTTGCTTAGACAAAAAGCCACAGAAGTTTCAGATGTCAAATGCTAAGATCATTCAGCTCCAGAAAAAGTGATTAATAGAGGCTACATTCAAGTGGATTCAAAACAAATTTGGCTAATTTCTCTTGTAGATGTAATTTTTTTTTACAAATACAGATGCTCAGAAGAAACTTTAGGGTAATTCTGATTATGTTACTGTTAGAGTAATGAATTGGAAACTTTAAAACAATTTGTTGATAATGAAAATAGTACTAATAAAGATAATAAAGACAGGACTGCTAGGCATTTCGGAGAAAAACTGTTTATGCTTTTAAAAGTTCTCTGGCAATGTTGCTTAAATTAGTTACATGGAAGTGTTTTATTTCAAAACCTACTCAAGGAAGATAGTAAGTTTACTTACTATTGGAAGATATTGTATTGGAAGATATAAATATCCGTTATCCATAAAATGGGCAAATATTCTGCTTCATGCTAGAGGCATATGTGGTCTGTACCCTTAGTTAAAATACTGCATTTGGGTGTCTGGAAGACAATGACGAGAAAAAGAGGGGAAGACACATTGCTTAGTCTAAGACTTGCAGAGTTTGCAGGGAGATGGGCTCAATTTTATTCACAATTTCATCGGTGTAAATTTGATTTCACTCATCTCTGTAGCTTGACTCTGGGCTACGTGTGGTGCGATGTGGGTGTCATGAACAGTAAGGGCAATTTTTGCTGTCTATAGGATGTCCGTATGAGGTAGGCTGACAGGCAATGAGGCCCAAAACTAGCCTCCATTGCGCTGAAGGTAGATACCTTCAGCTACTAAAGACAAGGCTAGTATTTTATTACCGATGTGATGCTTTAAGCAGGGCTGATGGGGATAGGATTATACTCAACGAGGTTTGTTATGCTTTTCTTTATGCAGACACAAATCCCATCCGTGCTGGGGGCTATTCCACCTGAATAAATCCCAGTGCCAAGGTGTGGGTGGAGGACAGGGCAGAGGTCTGCAGGCTGTACAGCAGATGTCTCCGACAGAGAGCAGATGTTTCCTCTAAAGAGGGCAAGACCAAATTACTGCTGATATTGAACTGTGCTTACAGCCCAGTGCTGCGCCCGCTCATGCCAGTGGCAGAGTTCCCAGTGCCCTGAAGGGAGTTGGGCTTTAACCTTTTGGGGTTTCATAAAGAAGCCCACGGTCCAGGCAGTGGTGTTTCACCCTCCACATGTAGCAGTAGTCATCTCTGATAAACTGAAGATTATGGCTGTGTAGCTGCTTGACTCTTGGTCCTCTGACCTCTTCCAAGTTGGAGCACTGAGTAAGGACCGAGCTGTAGGATAACAGAGAACCTCAATTTTGGGCCTGTCAGCCTTGAAGGAGATTCTTTTTAGCTGATCCATCTAAATATACTTTAGATGTCTCTTCAGGATCTTCAACACTCTGAAACATTGGAGTCTCTTTGAAAGCTGTACCTGGAAACTCTGTATGCCCAGGAAAAGCAACAGATACATGTGAAAGGAAATCATTGTCCTGTCTGCTTCCATGGCCATAAAACTTAGCTTTCCTTTCACAACCCTTTTGTTTGCAATAGCTAATTTAGATCCCAATCCTGTGAGAACTCTTTGAAGTTTCAAGTGCAGGGAAAACACTGGTAAACACAGACTGAGGCTTGGAAACAGGACATTATATTCTCCATGGCAATTACGTAAATTTGTGCTGTAGCTAAAAGCCTGTCACAGGCATTATCTAACACCATCCCACATCAAGACAGACAGTAATCCAAATATCTATTTATTTAATTGTGCAGGGCAACTGCCCAGATAAGGAAAACTATAAACTTAATCCAGCCAGTTATTCATTATCTGTTGCAAGGTTTTTTAAGTTTCAAACAAGTTCTAACTTGAAAAGAGTTTGCTGCAGAAATAAAGCACGAATGTTAACATATTTCTATCAGAGATGAAGCCGTCACATAGTTTGAACTTGTACTATCACTAGAGCTTGTTTTAATTTGTAATAAAATTGTGTGCTTCTGGATTTACATTGCCATTAAGTGAAAGAAAACATGAAGCGGTTTCTGCTGAGCAATCCCAATCTAAATACAGGTTTGAAGCCTATTTTCAGGTAACATTTATTCTCCCCTTTAGCAAAAGGTGAACCTGCTGA